CATTTGCATTTACCTGCATGCTTTGGTAGCGAGTCGGACTCAGTAGGCGAGTGACCTTGTGTCAATCACGATGCTTTAACGAGCTTTTTTTACAAGGGTAGATCACCGGGAGCAATGCAAGTCAAAGCATCAGGTTCAACACGAGTATAATTGTATTAAGGATCTAAGCGATCTAACTCGTGTCACATTGCTTTGGTAGCGAGCTGGACTCAGTAGGCGAGTGACCTTGTGCCAAAAGCAATGCTTAACGAGCATTGTTTACGAGGGTAGATCATCGGGAGCAATGTGAGTTAAAGCATCAGGTTCAACACGAGTATAACTTTATTAAGGATCTAAGCAATCTAACTCGTGTCACATTGCATGTTACGAGTCTGCATTTAACGGTCCTATTTTAAAATAAAGAAAATCTACTTATAATATCTATCCTAATTTTAAAATTATGCAAATAGTTAACTAGGTCACATGTATGGCCAACTCTCTTTAAAATCCATCAGGGCTGATATTTGTTAGATCCCTTTGATAATTAGGACGGGGCTAGTGTGACGACCCTGTTAAAGTCATACATGCATAGAGACTTTAACCTGAGCACTTAAATGTTGGTAAAGACACATTTCAATAGATGATGTTCTAGGGTAGAGTTATGATGTCAGATAGTCTTTTTTTCGATGTCTGACTATTAATTTTTGTTGGTTACACACACACACACATAGAGACTTTAACCCGAGGGACTTATGCCAGAGGCCGCACCAATAAACACGCGCGCACGCACGCACACACACACACACACACACACAAATATATGTACAATGTCATCTGTTTCGATTTCGCTTTGTTAGGGTTACGCCATTATGGCGAAACCTGGTATCTCTTCATCGATTTGCTCTTCATCGTATCTCCTCTTCTCCGTCGTGCTTCGTCTGTGTCGAGCGGCTTCGACTTCTACACACACACACACACACACACACACACACTAACAAGGGGAGTTATATTATGATATAAATGCTAAACCTTTTTTTGCAGGTGTTGTTATAAGTTCCTCCCGCTAGGCATGGTTTATATGCGTTGCAAGATATAATTCGTGCTAACTTTGTTGTAGGTCGAGTATTTTTTTTTGAATTTATTATGTACATGGTAGAGTTCCTATCTCCGAGTCTATATCAAAAGTAAGGTACATGCATGAGTTTCGAGGCATATGGAGCGGGAACTATGTGACAGAGACCAGAAGCAGCAACTAGTGTCCCTTACCTTAATTCTAAATTTATATTCTTGTATAGAATTAGGTTTGTGCATGTATATGCACAGTCCGATCGCTTTTATTGCTTTCCTAGGAGATGTTGTCGACCCAGCAACACCAGTTTACTTTCCTAGGAGATGTTGCTGACCTAGCGACATTAGTCTACTCTTATACTTTGCTTGGTTTTTCTTGCCCTTTGTTTTATGACTGCTTTATTTTTTGTGTTTCTTTTTATTTAATGTTTTTCTAGGATTGATCACAAAAAATAATCTAGGCTCATTAAAGACCCTAAAAATTTAAAATTTCTACAAAATTTTAATGGCAAAAGATTAAGATGAATTAAGATTTATGGTTAAAATAGAAGAGAACACCTGACTACCTCTACTTGCTGTATGTTTTAAAAGTTTGGGATGACATATATGTGGTATCTTGACCTGACTACCTCTACTTGCTTAGGGATTACTCTACCTTTTATGTTGTTGAATCTTTTCGAGTCATGTCGTCCTTTTGTGACTTCGTTGGCATTGCCTTGACGAATTGATTACTGATGAGCTCATGCCCATTTGGGATACAGTGATTCACCATCTGACCTTATGATTGGGTGAGCTCTAAAGTATAAAGATATCCTCGGCGAGACGATTTAACTATTTAGTAGGTTCAACGAACATTGTCTTGACGACCTGATTATTGATAAGCTCATGCACGTTTGGGATGCAGTGATTCACCCTCTGCTCTTATGACCCGGTGAGCTCTAAAGTATAAGGATATCCTCTTCGAGATGATTTAATTATTTAGTAGGTTCAACATGCTAATGAGCTGCTAACCATTTGAGATGCGAAAGACTCACTTTCAGTCATGTGGCTTAGCGAGGCTTTGAAAGCATTGAGGTACTTCCATACAAAATAACCATCATTTGGTGTCTTATCTGCACCAGATTATGATAATATAAGCATTATCGAGAGTATTATTGGGTACCCCCCCAAGATGTCATTAATCTAAGAAATACTATCCTTTGGGAGTGCTCTTGGCCCCAGAAGAAAAAATGATTTTTTGATTCTTTGGTTATGTATGGCTTGAGTAGGGATTTTTTTCATGGATACCGTGCTTTGAGGTATTTCAATCTGATCTTGTTTCGACTTATACTCTTGACCTATCACAACAGGATTGTCCTATGCATAAGCCTTCCATGTTTCTTTTTAAATTTGTTTGCCTATTTTTTGTCATATATCATTCTCTTCAATTTCTCTCCTCTTTGAATCATTAATATGATTCAAGAGAGAGATTTATTCGAATAAGAGAATTATACGATGATATATGAATAGTCAAGCCAACGATTAAAACATTGACGATATTTAAACAAGCTGATAACTCCGAGTTTCTTTAAAAAAAACCAAAAAAAAATTATTAATCAACCATTTTTCAAAGACCAAATTTTTATAATGCTCTCTCTCAATATCTCTCTCTTTTCTCTCTTTTGTTCTACGCTCTATTTATTGGATGTGATTCACAAGACATATTCGAATTCAACATCTTAAAAGGTGTGTGAGTGGATTATGCCAGCAATATTTCAGAGAAGTGTCACATAGGAGGAATTATTCCGTACGGTTCGATCTATTTAAAAAAAAAAAAAAAAATTAAAAGTGGGGCCCACCGAAATACAATTTTGCGGTGATTGACGGTGGAGACCGGACATCGCATGCATCTCGGCATGCGGTGTCCGTATGGAATAATTTTTCGTCACATAAGATGAAACTCACCAAAGAGACATAGTGAATATGGAGTGTACCAAAGAATTCGTACAACAATTGATCCAGGAGTTAAGAGATCAGATGATGGGCCAAATGTTAGAGGCCATCAGAGAAACCTTCAAGAGAAACTAGCACCCAACTGTCGGTCGGAGGGCACAGTTGCCCAAAAAAAAAAAAGAGAGCAGAAGATCCTCAATATCAGGACAAATGTTGGGTCGGTGTTGATGGATAGACATATGTTCACGCGTACTAAGACCCTTCGTCAGCTAAAGAATACATTTTAACTATTTTATGTGTACATGACACATGATAAATCATAGGAAATTTATAACCACATTTGCAATATCAAATTCCATCCATACTTATTATATAATTTTACTTACATTATTTTTTATTTATATATATCAAGCAACACTTAATCATGGAAGCCATGTTCCTACTATTTAAGGTAGCAATGGACAAGATGCTAGCGCACTAATGCTCGGAGTCGATACTTTTGGTGTAGGAGCTTGACAATTTCATTCTTTAGTGCATTGAACACTTTAAACACCAATATTTTTATGCCCGTGACAATATACAAGGGGACAACCCAACACCCGCACAAAATGTGCGGCTCCTATTTTTCTCCTATTTAATTTTATGAACAATGATTTTTTTTTTCTTTAATAATTTTGGATGGGATTCACATCAAAGTGCTGCAATCATTCATCAATAATGTGAATCTCTATCTTACAATTAGATAATAACATTCATGCCAGTTCAGAAATCACCAATATGGATGTCTTCTTCATTCAATATTTTTTTCTCCATGCTTCTTGTAACATTGAAAGATGTAGAAGAAAATGTTAACAATCTATGAGATGGAGTTAGGATCCGTTTGGGGCAGTTTATAAGCGCGGGCGAAACGCCGTCGTACCATTTGGTTCGCGCGTTTCGCCAGTTTATCAGAAACAACGTTTGGGTTTTTACACTAAACGCAAACCGCAGGTCGACCCCTACGGCCGGCCCGCAGGCTGCGTTTCAGGATAAGCAGTTTATTCTGAAACGCACAAGCTGCCCCAAACGGACCATTAGTCATGGTTAGCATGACCGACCAAGACGGGAGCATGATTGATACACCCCGAGATCAAATGTTATTCTGCCTCGACGTAGATGTCAAGATAGATGCTTGTTTTTTCTTTATCGCTGCTATATAATCAAGACTTTATTAGTTTTTAATTTTAATGTCAGTATTGTTTAAGCGAATTTAATTATATGTCATTAATATTACGAGCTTTTTATTTTAATGTCTTTATTGAGTTATAAAATATTAACGTATTAGTTCTTAGAAGGTCAATTTTTTATTTATCTCTTAAAATTATTTACAAAAAAATGTAAATATATATTAACATGTTTTTTGCAAATATATTTTTTAACTTTAATCTCAAAATTTTCTCAAAATTTTTGCATTAAATTTCTATTACTCTAAATTTGAACAATTATAATTTTTTTAATATACAAGTTATATATTTTTTAAATATTGTATTATGATATTAAATTATCATTTTAATTTAAATTATATTTTGTACTTATAGTAAATATATATAGGCTTTTTCATTAACACCTCAAAATTATATTTCATAATAATTTTATTTTGAAAAGAAAATTATTATTGAATATTTATTAATGATTATTATATATATATTTTTAAATTATAAAATGCATTTTTATTTATTAAAATAATTAAATTGTCCCGTTGAGCCGGGCGGGTGTATTTCTAAAGAATTCTTTTTTTTTTCAAAAATAATGAAGGATAAAGACCATCTTCTCCTTCAATGAATGCTCTTGTCCTTCTTCAACATTCAATACTTCAAAATCAGAAGACGTGGCAGCAGAAGATCCAATCGTGGAACACGTGTATGGCCATTCTTCTAAGCGCCTGCACCATTCCCAGAGTTTTCCAACGGCTCGATACCGTCACGTGGCGGTTTCCCCGGTCATTGTGGTCCACCTGCTCCGCGCCAGCTCTTTAAATTCCCATCTTTGCCCTTCCACGCTTGAATCGCTTTATGAGCCACCGGATGCAGGCAGTGGTTGGGGGCGAAGCACAGAGACGAGCTCAAGAAGAGGAAGATCTCTGTACGAGCTCCAAGGTATCGCTGACAGCGATCCAGCAATGGAGTGGTGGGATCGAATGATTTCTCCCGCTAGGCGTGTTTGGATCGGCGTCGCCGCTCGCTTCAGCTTAAGGAGGAAGAATGGTAAGTTCTCCGCTGCTCAGAATCGATGAACTTAAGGTTAGATCTGCGATGATCGGTGATCGTGGAGGTCATTTTGTTTATCTTATATGTTTTTTAGGGTTAAAGAAGCTGAGGCAGGAGGTGAGCACCTGCGAGTACGAGGACGTTCGCGTGATGTGGGAGATGCTGCGGAGGAATGAGATTGAGATCGCTGGCTCTCCGCCATTGAACGATCGACAGACGATCAAGCACCGCCGCCGATGGGTTCTGTTTGGTTGGCCTCCGTATAATCTCTGTGCTTGTTTCTGATTGTGTTCCCAGAAATCCAATTAGCGTCCTGTTTCTGTCTCCCTCTTTCTCTATCCCTTGAAATGAGTGATGAGGATTTCTGGTTTCTCGCCGTCCATGCTGGAACTTTTAGCAAGAAAGCTTGTCCGTTCTGTGTTCCGTTTATGTTCCTTCCGTATCGCTAAAATTAAATAAAGCTTTCAAATATGACGAGATCTGCTGTGTTTTTCTTTGTATATGTTAGAAAGTGTGAAGTCTGATGCTATGTTTGTAACTCAGAATCAGTGAAAGGAGCTCGCGCAAGACTTATCATTTATTTGAAGTTAAAGAAAGAAAATCTGTACTGATGCAACAGGGAAAAATATTAAGGGCTTGTGGAGAAATTGATAGTATTCGGCGAAGATGAGATTCAGAGCACATTTTCATTATTAATTTCATCTAATTGTTATATCAGAGCCCAACTTAAAATTATAATAATGATCAATTCAGGCTCTAATTTTTCACGCATCAGCTCGAGGTATCAGCTCGAGACTGAATTTTTCAGTCTGTAATATTTTTTTGAGCTTCTAAACTAATTTAAATCTGCAGTAAAAAGGTGGGATGAAACGGATGCGAGAGTTTCTTTTTTTTAATTTTAAAAATTCGGAAAAAGAATCACATATTTGACCCAATTTCAGGCATTTACATAACATACCGCATAAATCTTAAGATGTTTACAAATCTAGCAGTTTTTATACATACCATACAAGATTTTGCGTCATGTCAAAAATATGACCCTCATTTACAGCTAAAAATGAACCAGTGCACCCTCAAATTTGGCTCGCTTAGAACTCAAAAATGTAGTAATAAATAAACATGAATATTTCTTAAAAATTCAAAATTAAATGAACTAAATTAGTTTATTGTACAGTTAAACAAATAATCTGTTAGATCTTATGGTTGAACTAGAATTTTTTTAAGCATAGATTTACTATTTTAATGAATCATCATGAATTGCTAAAAAAAATTGTATTATGATTTATTTGATTGTATAAGTTTATATCTTTCCCGCTCTTATTTATATATGTATATATAACATAGTATAACATTAGTTTAGAGATTTGTGTAAGTTTAGATTTATTTGATGAAAAATTATATTAGTTATAATTTATTTCTATGAGAATATATCTATTATAGATATTAGATGATATTATTATATTGATAAGTTTATTTCTTATCTAATTTATTAATTTATTCATTTATGTATAACTATTTAATAAAATTTCATATGAAAATTTAGATATTTGTTTGAATTTTTAACTCGTTTATCAACTCATTTAAATATTCGTTCACTCGTCATAAACATTTTTTTTTAATAACTGTAACAAGCCAAGTCCAATTTATGGATATACTTGACTTGAGTACAACCCAATACTCACTCATTTTTTTCTTACAGTGAAATAGATTTGTTTGTCAATATAAAAATTTAGGTGTTAGATATATAAAAACATAAGAATTATGTGGCATGTATGTAAAGTGCCCATAGTATTCAAATTATAGAGAATCGATCTAGTCAAAGTTGAAGGGAAAAATTTTCCATTTTCCCCTTTCACTAACGATAAAGGGGGGAGTCCAAAGCCCAAAGGCATTGAAGATAATTAGCATTGTGTTACGATCATGATAAAGGCGATCGAGACAGTTTCCCCCCTAAAAAGGCAAACATTAGTCACGCTCGAAGCCAATAAGCAATTGAAAGTAGTCAACACAATCAATCTATCTCCTAAACTTGCTCTTCCTCACTGGCCAAAAATCAAACAAATAAAATGAAGATGGATTGATTAAATGAACTAAATTTAAAATGATGATGAAGGATGAATCAACCAACATCAAGATTGACCAACACATACTTCGATGATGATTTGACTTTTACATTCTAGATGTGAAGATGACAGTCCACGATATGATTGTGGCCAGCGAGCGATTATCACAATGGCAGAAGCCTCCAGGCAGTGAGTGACAAAGGAGCAGTATAAGGAAGGATAGGTATACTGATTCGGTCTACTCTAAATATGACTTTGATACAAATTTGAAGATCTCACAAAGATCCAATATTAGTAGTTTTAGTTTTACGGATTCCATCTTTCACGGAATTGGCCTTGCCATCTTTAGATATTTTTCAAATTATTACAAAAAAAAAATAGTAACCCATAAATATCAAAATATATATAACTACAAGCTTGCGTAACAATTTATTGGCTCTAAAAAAATAATGTATTTTAACACGTTATCAAACAGATCTAAAGACATAAAACAACATTTATGAAGCTATGAAACGAAAGAGAAGACAAGTTCAAGGTTGTCTTCTAGCTAGTTAATAAATTAAGCTTTTGTAGGTCTAATTAATTTAGGGATTGATACTTAGATGGTCAAAATTTTCGACTACAATATTGGAAACATGCCCGTTTTCCATACAACTTTAGAAGAACTCATTACGTCAACCTCATCAATAAAAATGTGATAATGATGCCCAAAAAATTTAAAATTAGAAGTTGAATTGAGTTATAATAAAGTTTCAATGGCAGAGATTTCTTCAGTCTAAGCTCATTATAACTTTCCAGTGCACATGCAGACAAAAGTGTAAGCGACTCTCAAATGTGAAAGAATTTTGGAAAGGGTAAAAATCACGGGGCATGGCCAGATTAGAATAATAGACTTGGAAATCGAAAGTGTGAATGCCCACTCTTCTCTTGAATTCGAAAATTTGGGTTTGCAAGAATCGAAAATTACAACTATATAATAGTAGTTTGGCTTCAACAGCCACTCGTGGTTAAGTTATACGAGTTGTAGTTGGTAACTGCAATAATCACTGGTGGATTATTAGTGATTGTTTATCTCACGTTTTCCTTTAAGATGTATGTTTTAGTTGTCAGCTCATTCTTTTACTCTCCTCCCCTATTCAAGTGAAGAATGTTGGTCTATTTATAATTTTTTAGAGTGACATTTTGATAAATTTGACCAACCTCATAAAACACTTTATTAGAAATTCCGCGTTGATTCCCTTGATCACATATTAATTTTTCAAAATTTAAGCTTCTTAATGACCATAGAATTAAATGATCTTAGGCTCGTTAGATTCATCTCGACGAGCTACTCGATTTGACTATAAGCATGCCAAATCCTCGTTGGATTCCTCTCTTCGAGCTGCTTGATTTGACTACAAGCATGCCAAATTTTGAAATCATTTGACTTTCCAGTTAATGCATCAAACCTTCAAGTATACTTTGATCTAGGCTTATTTGCTCTCGGATTGGATTACTTTCAATATCATTAGACTCGCATTGTTGAGATGCAAATTTTAACTATAAATTTGTTGAAATCAAAACTTAAAAGACCCAAAATTTGAATTTGAAATTGAAAGATCTTTTTTACCCAAATTGGATCAAGATTTGTGCATAATCACATAAATTTCATTGGCACGCACACGCGCACACACACGTACACACAACTCTTAAGTATGTACATATTTAACACACAAAGTATGAATTTTTACATTTATATCATCCAAATCTTCCATATCACATAAAGAAAAATATATATCATCATTTTAACTTAAAAAAGTAAAATACACCTCTCCATGCATAGGTAGAGCGGCTAAGCATAAATACATAAGAATTGAGTGGTATGCATGTAAATCTTCCTAAATTGATTCAAAGTTTCTTCCCCTCACCCCACCAAACATTAATATTAAATAAGTGATGGCTCACCCATTAGTTGGGACCCCTACTAAAAAAAGTTAATGATAACTACACATTATCATTAAGATCTCTTCCCCCGAACTTTCATAAATTTTAAGAATAATTACAAAAGCCGGCAAACACACATTCAACGGTCAACAAACTCGTTCATAATGCCCCTCTGACGTGGATGATTAAGGACATTATTCATAGTTTAATTTTTTAATGAAATTTAAATTAATAGGCAGTAATCAACAAAACAGTAGCAGTGGTTGACCTGTCAGAAACTTTGTGCATTACATAAAATTATTATTTATATGAACAGGTTATGTGTAGATTTGTGCATAGACGAACATTACAAACAGAAAATTTAATATTTACATAATTCATCTCATGTATTTACATATCTAACACTTAAAAATTTGATATTTACACTTATAATACTTTGGTGCCATAAATGAAGTTGTGTTTCAACTTTAGAAAAGCTAACAGCGATGTTATTTTTTATGTATATAAGAATGCGTGGTATGTATGCGAATGCCCCAATAAAGTTCTGCATTCAGAATTTTTAACAAATATGAAGGGGGAGAAAGTTAGAATGAATCAATTTGGAGGTGAAATGCATGTGTTATAATAAGACAAATTTCGAATATAATTGAAGGGCGTCACCTAACTAGAACTGAGAGACAATAGATTATGAGTCAATTTTAAATATGTTTCTATGTTATGCAACACCATTCAATGAATTTGCCTTTCAAAATTCATTTAACGGACAATCCTTAAATGATTGGGGTGACAAGTATTGGTGGCAAACGCCACACCTTATTGAGAAATGATATTTGCCATAAATATGGTAAGATCTCTCGCGTAATAAAGACGACTCGATTAGGCTGATAATTAAATGTAAGAATAGAATTTCTCAAACATGTAGTACATTGATTAGAAATGAATTAAAGAATCCCAAGTGTACATAAAAAATTGTGTTAATGCTGATCTTGATGAGAAGCTTATTCTAATGAGATCTAACCGTTTAGAAGAAAAAAAGTACAATAAAGAAGGACCAACCGACAGAGGACTTGGAGGCCCACTTATCCCACCAGGTGTATTTGTTTGAGCAAAACAAGCAAAACCAAAACCGAACAACTCACAAAGAAGACTGAATTACCCTAACCCGAACCCATCGGACTAAAACGAGACAAGCATCTAAGCCAACCACCATAAGAAAGCTGATTCAATACATTGACCTACCTCTTGATAGGTTCCACCAGAGGAAAGAATCAGGTTCCTCAGTATACGCCCATGAAGTTTCCTCATCAATGACTAATAAGTGATCATACAACAGAGCCTCACAATCACCCCGTAGAACCCCTTGTCAAGGAGAGAGCTATCTACCGAGTTACGGTGATTCACATTCTACTCGATAGTCCAATTTCGTTCTGCCAACTGGAGCTCCTCGTCTAGGGATCGAGGGTCGATAGTTAAACTAGATCAATCGATCAACAAAGTCTAACCAACTAAGTTAGCTTTGTCGACCCGAAACTAATCAAATCCAACTGACCAGCAACACGACTTAAGCTTAGCGGGCCGAACTGGTCTTAATGAGCCAAAGTCATTCTAGCCTAGCTGACTTAGTCATAGATTAGCCGAACAATAAGCTCATACATGTAAAATACCTAGAATATCTTGTAATTACAGCCAGTAAAGTTGGGGCAGAAATGAAAATACATATGTTACACTCTCCCATA